TTACGGGCGCGCATTTACTGCCAGCCAGCCAGCCAGCCAGCCAGCCGACCAGCCAGCCAGCCAGCCAGCCAGCCAAAGTGAGATTAAAAGCTACTTTTTACAAAAAAAATTTTTTGCAAAAATGCGCTAAAAAAACGAACAGGATTCCTCGAGAATCCACTACGAGTGACATTTAATACATCTTTTACTTAACGTCTGTGCAGGCAATAAACGACGGAACCTCTAATTGCCAATACCTATATTAATTGCCAGCTTAACGACTCATAAAAATCCCTCGACTATTCCAAGATAAATAAACGGCCCACGGAGACATTTTTATACGGGACGTGTTAGAAAAATAGGTCATTTTTTCAATGGAAATCCCGTTCCGAGACACTCTCGGCCGGCGACAACACACTTGCAGCAGCTCGCCTTTAGGCCATCCAAAAATACCCAGAAGTCGCTAAGAATACGGGATCGTTATGTAAGCAAATTGTTGCACATGTGCAACGAGGCATTTTTCGCAAGCACTCTATTTTTAGCAACTTTTTAAAACTCGTTTGGGAGCGGTGGGCGTCTTGATTAAAAATGAGAGGAAAAAATGGAAAGTATTAGGTGAATAAACTGTCAAAATTTGTGTATGCGTCACAAGGCTATTTGTGCGTTTTAAAGCACATGTTTCGGCAATCTCCTTCCGCAATTTCTAAATGGGTTTGCAAATGGGTAGTGTAGCGAAAAAAAGTTCACTATCAGTGGAGCACAATTTTCTTGAGATGTTTCCGGTAATGAAATTCCATCACGACTCCAATAACGCTGTCTAGAAAGTGAAAAGGGTAATTATTTCCTTTTCAAGTAGGTATATTCGGTCAATGCCAAGAGCCTTCTCGAATAACTTTTCAGTGCCAACGTTTATAAAGTCAGGAAATAATCGACTTCCTTGACAGGTTACTCGTGGATACATCCGTTTATTTAAAGAATTTAACATTTGTTTTGTCTATCTTACTGGCTTACCGCATAATGCCCCGAAATAACAACCCATTACCGTTGTCAATAAACTAGACCTCTTTCTCTTTATTTACGTGGATTTAAAAAACACGCACACTATACCTACACTCCGAAAGATTGTAGATTTTAGTCCATGGGTGGTCTCGGGTTTCTCTAAACAAATTCCATTCATGGGTGGCGAAGATCTTTTATGCTCTATGCAAATTTCGCATTTAATTGTGATAAACAATGCCCAACGCTAATAGTCGATGGAGACGTTTCGTTATGGGCTCTGGCCAAAGTTAGATAGGTCAAAATGATTGCTCATCGTTTATATTTTTGATCGCATCAACCTCGGCGTTCATTAAAAGTGTATTTTTAGCTCTTCAAAGGATTTATGATTTACCCTTAAACAATCGCGTAAAAATAGTCTCGCCTTGTAGGTGGTTTTAAATGGTAAACGGCGGTTTCGGTTCAGTTCGTTCCTCCCAATGCCGTTTTTCCAGATAAAAAGTTGCAGTTCTGACTTACGATGTAAGTTGCCACAGATCAGGGGTGGCAAAATACTTGGATAAATACAAAATACGTCGAAGTAGTATAGTGTTTGTGACAGAATTGGGGTTGCTAGCTTAACTTTAAACTGAACCTCCAGAAATGGTGAAATGCACTTAGACTCGAAATAAATTAGAAACGATGATTATAGAATTTTTGCTAACTTATTGGTAACAGATTCTAAACTATGTGCTTGCAAAGTTTCGAAATAATCATTGCTGTGGCAAATTGTGGGTTAACGTTTGGAGGTGCCAGATATTTACAAGAGTGAAGTGCCACAAATAAATTAATTTCGGTTATTATTTTTATGCTACACCACACCATTCTACTCGTAGATTAACCACATTAATTTTTTACTAAATTGCAAGTGTGAAATTAATTGCCACATTTATACCTTGTTAATTAAATGGGAACTGTTTGGGGGTGCCAGCGATTTCATTGCTAGACCACTTGCTAATGTTAATTGTTTGAAATTAATGGTTCTACGTATAAGTTGAGACTGTTCGTGAGTGACACTTATTGCACATACTTATTCAATGGCCTTAATTAATTCTTTCTCTATTGATTATTACGTATAGTAGTATTTGTTTATACAACATTTCATATTTAAATTACGCAAATTTGAACAAAAGTAGCAGTCAAACACAAGGTAAGCAATAAGGGGGTACATGAATCGGTGTATAGGTCATAGTCAATCTGTTTAAGGCCATTCTAGTGTTAGCAACATTTACAATGGTTTTATGGTTGCAGCATCCCTTTTCATAATTAGGTAGTTCTCATTTTCTGAGAAACTACATTAGTAAAGATGTTCTCCGTGCCGAAAGGGTGGAAGAAGCCTTTCCTCGAACGAGATGAGTCACAAAATTTCAGACGAAAGGGATTTCAAATGTCTGATTTCTTAAAACTTTTGACAATGGGTGACGGGTGTACAGTCTAGGATTAACGTCAACTAAGGAATGCACTTAGCCTGGTAAAATCTGTTAATAAACTATTGATATATGGTTACATTAAGATACAAATATATTATGTATAGTGGCAATAAATTTATTTGGGACCCTACTCTTGCGAGTGGCTGGTACCTCCAAACAGTTTCCATTTAGTGAGCAAATTATAAATGGAGCACTTGCACTTTTGTAAACCAATAATATAAGGAGTAGTTTATTAGCAATAAATTTATTTGCAAGTAGCCTGACACCCCGAAACGATTTCTATTTCATTACCATGCAATTATTTTCAAACTTACAATTTAAAGAGCAATTAACATAATGGGGGGTTTATCCCTTGATCTCTTTCCAAATCTAATTATTTATCTACTATTTGTAATTACTCCAACACCTGGTATATTTTCCTAGTCAAAAATAAATTTACACGACTCTGGATGCTAAATAAAAATTAACCCACACAAAACAATAGTGTTAATGAACTAAATATTTAACTTCACAATTAATGGGCAAGCAATAAATTCCCATGGGCCGACCTCTTCAGGAATGTTAATACAACTTTTAAGTGTAAATCTTTTATAGAAAATCCCCAAAACGATCGACTCCTATGGTTACACAATGCAAAAATTCAATAATATAATAATAAATCAATCAATAATAAAATAACTTAACTTTATCCAACACCTCTATGTTATCCAGTCATTATCATGACGAAATTAAACGAGTAAGGTATAATATAACCCACTAATGAGTTATGGACGTAAAATAACTCACTAGCAAGATAAAGTGCAGGAACATTCTTTATTTCATACTGTCCGGTAGATGTTCGATTACACTATCATTTTGAGTCCGGTAGGTGAGTTATTACAGCATCAGAGCCGGTAAGTGTCGCTAAGCAACACTTACCGGACTGTTATTTGTATACATCAAATTTGACATCTTCACACAATTAATTAAAAACCCCAACATAAATTTGGCTGTAATTCTTTATTTCAAACATTAACATTGATTGTAATGAAACAATTTGTATTGCCCTCAACACTACGCCTGGGTTATTACTGAATGTCGAGTTAGTAATGTTTGATTCCTTCTGCTGTAAAACTTCAATGAAATTTTCGCCGCCTTGTATCAGTTGTATCATACGGGCAATCTTAACTTTTCCTTCTACCGAGCCTTCGATGTATTTTTCTGCCGTCGATGAGCTTTTCCATGCTCCATGACGCTTTAACACCGAAACCCAGGCAAAAAAATCTCAATTCAAAAACTTACTGCCTTCAAAAAGTATGCCAACACGACTTTTTCCTCTACTTGTTTCGCCCCATGTTCGTTCCTCAATTGGCAAAACACTTAGTACTCTTTTTCATACCTTGCGCCCGACTTCTTAGGAACCAACTTTTCGGTTGCTTCATGAGATTTCGACAGGATTGTATCGGGAACATTGGAACATCCCACAACGTTTATAACGTCAATTTTTCAGTGAAAAAAATTCAATTGTCAACAAACTACAAACTATAGCAACGGCCGTTGTCACAGAAACAAGGTAATGCGATTTTTACAATATGATGAAATTTTGTAATCTTTGAAATGAAATAATGATACAAAACAGACTTACAGTATGAAATAAAATACGTTACGATATACGTCCGGTAGTACTTGTAACAGTACTCGTTTAAGACATTCTTGACTCGGCTCCTGACGTCGCCTCGTCCATAATGTCTAACTCGTACTGTTACAAGTAACCTACCGGACTTATAACGTAAATAACTATTTATTAATTAATTTTTTGTTGTTTATTATTCCCCATAGCAACGAATTATTGCTTTTGTATTCCATGCACTCTAGCTTTTCGCGGAACACGCAGTTTTTAAGATTTCCACGTTTTAAACCAGCTTGAGGAGGTGTTGGATAAAGTTTTGTATGGTGCACCTGTGTTAATTACAATAAGTCACTTGAGAAAATAACCCCACTCGGCCTGACGGCCTCGTGGGCTTACTTTTTTCTCGCGTGACTTATTTGTAATATAACACACTTATACCATAAATAA